CCAATGGGAAACACTCACTGCTAAGGACCAACACAAGCTCTCCAGAGCAGAGGAATGGGAAAAGAGCAAGATGCAAAGCCAAATACAGGGTCCCTGGCTGGGATGTGGGGGGGATGGGTAAAGGACACTGAGGAGTTGGGGTGCTGCAACAATTTAAAATCGAAGAATTTATTACTGTGGAGCAAAAATAAATGATGTACTCCTGCATGCTAAGAAATGGATGAGACTCGAAAAGATTATGCCAAGAAACCACTTGAAGTACCACAAATTGTATGATTCTACATATATAAAATGTCCAAAATAAACAAACCAATCAATCAAGGTATATTAATGGTTGTCAGGGGCTGCAATGGAATAAGGAAACTGGGGGATGATGGCGATACAGGGCTGCCTTTGGGGTGATGAAAATATTCTAAAAGTGACTAATCATGGTGACAGATGCACAACTCTGTGAACACACTAAAATTCACTGAACAGTTTTCTTTAAATGGTGAATTTGAGGCTGGATTGATGATAATACAGCAGCTAAGGAGCTTGCCTTGCACACCTGACCTAGATTCAATCTTTGGCATCGCATATAGTCCCCAAGCCCTGTCAGGAGTGATCCCTAAGTACAAACCCAGGAATAAGTCCTGAGAACAACAGGTGTGGCCCAAGAAAAACAAAATAAATAAAATGATGAATTTAGGGGCCAGAGAGACAGCTTGAATGGTTAGAGCAAACACTCTGGGAACTATGTCACCCACCCCACCCCTCAAGAGCCTCTAGGAACAATCCCGGAGAACCTCCCCAACACGATCATGTATGTGTCCCTGTAAAGAGAGTATTTCAATAAAACTGTTAAAATTAAAAATAAAAACCAGGGCTATAGTATGAGCCAGGGAAGCAAAAACTTCTAGTTTGAAAACTTGCTGGGGCCGGAGAGATAGTACAAGTAGGGGACTTGCCTTCCTGCGGAAAACCCAGGTTTCATCCTTGGCATCCCATATGGTCCCCGGAGCCCGCAAGAATTATTGCTGAGTGGAGAGATTGGAGTAACCCCTGAGCACTGCCAGGTGTGGGCACTACACACACACACACACCCAGGCCCCTTGCAAAACACACACACACACACACACAAAATGAAAACTTGATTAAAACTTTATAGCACATCTGCGAAAGTCAAAAGATGCCACTCAGAACTTTCACCACAGTAAGGAAAGAGAGAGGGTACAGGTTTAAGGCAAGACCACATATGGTCCCCCAAAGAGTGCCAAGGGTCACTCCAGAGCACAGAACCAGGAAATGCCCCCTAAGCACTGCTGGGCGTGGCCAAAAGAGAACTTTCACAATGGGTGGAGGAGTGGTAGGGACAGAGAATTGATAAAAAAAAACACAATTTACTTCTGAATAGAAATAATCTCCTCTACGTGTAAGTCACCACTATATATTTTATGCATGGAAAATGAAGGCCCATAAAACAGATTTTCTCTAAGATCAACTACAACTAAGATCATCTAGGTGGAGATACTTCCTGTTATACCATTGGTTGTAACTTGTGGTAGACAAAGGCTCCTAGGAAGAGTCCATAAGTGTGGAGGAAAACTGAAAAGAGTGAAACTTGCATCACTCAAGATCTAGCTGGGGGCAGGTATTCAAAGACTCAAGACCTTCAGAAAGGGGTGGACTTTTACCAGGAGGTGGGGGGGGGGGGGGTGGAAGGAGGGAGAAAGTTTAGAATCTACCTAAACCCGTAAGGCAGCTAAGAGAAGACCCTTTTGAACTCGGGCCTTTTGGAATTCAAGGCCCTACCTCTTTCCACACATTATCTCCACAGCAACAGGGCTCCTGGCAGGAACCACCAAGCTTGTTCACCACAGAACAACTTACCATAGAAATCACTATCCCCTAGCCCTGAGCCTTACACCAAACAGGCCACCAAGTATGAATGATTAGGAGGGAACAGAAGGTGGGGCTAGAGCAATAGCACAGTGGGTAGGGCATTTGCCTTGCACGCGGCCAACCCGGGTTCGATTCCCAGCATCCCATATGGTCCCCCTGAGCACCGCCAGGAGTAAGTCCTGAGTGCAGAGCCAGGAGTAACCCAAAAAAAGAATGGAACAGAAGGATAAGGAAGAAACTCAATTCTTTCTTAAAAGACCCTAACTATTCTGTCACTTCCAAGTCCAGAGGGCTTTGGAGTGACTTCCCCTAAGACCTAGAAGTTAAACACCTCCACCTAACTCCTTCCCCGACTGATAAGAAAACTGAGGCCCAGAATGTACAAGAAGAACTACTCTGATTCATCCAGCAAAGTGGCAGAGCAAACCAAGAAATCCTAGCTCCAGGGTCAAGTCCAGCTTCTCCCACCATCTCAGCAGGAATACCCCCGTTTTAAAATGCTCTTGAGCTCACCACATTTTCAAGTCAGTTTCCTCACTGGGTAGATATTCAGCAATGAAATCATGCAGGGGAAAGGAAACTCCTAGTAGTATCCACCACCTTGTCAACACTGGGACCCCAAGGTGACTAAAGGGCTCTTAAAAGGCAGTACAGCCTAGTCAATAGTATCAGGAAAAACAGGAAGCCCAAGGAGTCAGAACAAGGAACGAAGTCACCATCTGGGCTCCCTCTTACCAACTCCTTTCCTTCTCAAAGGACCTAATTGGCCCAAATACTAAAAATACACGCAGGGACAGTTCAGGACCCAGATGGGGGTGTCAGGAAAAAGTCTCCCTTGTTATCACCCCCAGAAGATACCAAGTTGGACCAGGTGAGGCCATGAGAGGCATTCTATTCCTCCTTTTGTGCCAAGGACAGAAAAGGACTCTCTTCTCTGACTTTGGGAGGAGAGTCACACACACCCACAGTTTTAATTCCCTATTCTTATGGGACAAGCAGAAGGAAAGGACTCCTAGCCTAGGAGATGTGAAGGGGGCATCCAAGGATATGTTTTTCTGATCACCACTTCTTCCTCTGGGTACCTGGAATCCAACTGCAGTACCAACCCTTACTTCTGTAGAGGAGGAAAAGCTGCCCTCACCCCACCCAGGGAGGGAAGATCAGGTCCTATTCCTAACCAGAAGAGGTCCAGAAGTGATCAGGAAGAGGTCAGGAGCCACAGTGCTAGGTGCAACAGGAACAAGATGAGTGGATTCAAGATAAGGCCCTGGCTCCTGTGATGCAGAGACAGGTTTACCTAAGCCAAGCAGGAGAGTATGATGTGCAGAGCTTTTCCCTGAGGCAGGCACAACCCCCTTCCTGTCTCTGTGAAGAAAAAGTTTGTGGAATGTACCTCAGGAAGCCCTTACCTGGAAGGACCGAGGAAGCTCTCCTGGGTGGGGAGAAACACCAAATATTTCCCAGTGTTTGAGGAGAGCAATCAGCCCTCATGGCCCCAGTAAACTCCCACTAGAAAGAGGTCAGGAGTTCCTGGTTAAGGGAAGGCAGCTTAAGAGGTTCTTTTCTATGGAGCAACCACGTCCTTCTGTCCCATGAAAGATGCCATAGGTTCACAGTGGGGAAGACCTCAAAGTCCTCTCTGTAGTGAAAACGGATTGGCCAGCATGGGCCAATCTGCTCTCCCTGAGAGCAAGCTTGAGCCCCTGAAAAGAGGCTCAGCTTCTTTTCAGCATCCCACTGTCCCCACATTTTCCAGGGAACCAGACAGTTCTCAGGACCTATTTCATCAGTGAAGGGGGCTCTAAAGTTCAAGTCCCAAGCAGGCAATCCACCCTTTAGGGACCCTAGCTCCAGGGTGTACTATGAAGCCGACACTCAGAGCAGGCTCAGACTTTACCATCAGGGACGTGTCTCATCCTGAGTGAAAGCTCAAACTTTTGGGGGAACAGTCGGGACCCCATTCCCCCTTGAGGGATGAAAGCTTGCTCTGCCCCTAAAATATGCTTTAGTCCCTCAAAATTGGTGGAGTAAGATCTCCTAACCCGAAGGGGGAGGCCCTCAAGACCCCAAGGTGACACACAGACATCAGTACCCAAGGAGAAAGAGCCTCTAAACACTTTGTCTTGCCTGTAACCTCTTGGCAGGAGGGAGGTATGTCAGCCCCCTGAAGCAGCTTCAGGACCAGCCTCTAACAATCCCAGTTTCAGGGGGTGAGGGGAGAGACTCTTAAGCTCCTGTATCCAAAACTGTTTCCTAGAAAGAACTCAGGCCTAACCCTGCAGCCCGTTTCATGGCTGGTGCCGATGGCACCATGGTTAGGAAGCACAACTAGCATGCGTGCGCCTGGGGACTCCATTCTTCCACACCACAGTCCCGTCACCAAAGGGCCCTTGCACTGAATCACTGGTCCGTTTAGCCAAGAATCGCCGCTGGGAGCCCTGGACCTCCACTTGGGAGACTCCATCCTCAAAAAAAAAAAATCAAAACAAACAAAAAACCCCACAAAAATGTTTCCCAAACTGAAACTATCCAGGGGGTGGCGCTAAAGAAGGCCGATTTCGAGAGGGGGTGCCGAACTTTTTCCTAAAAACGGGGGCAACGGGCCAAATACATTTCAGAGCATCTGAGGAAACAGCAGCTTAAACTCCTGGAGAGAGATTCAGACTGTCGCCTCTAATGACAGGCGACTTCCTTGGACTCACGCTAACCGCCTCTACCTTAACGTGCTAGCGCTCTCTCTCTCCCCAAAAGAAAAGAATTACACGCCACCGAGCACACCCAGGCCCTTAGGATATCAGTCAAGGGTCGCCCTTGCGGCAGGATTTCAGCCTGGCGCAGAGTTCCCACCTACTGTCCCGACACAAGATCCCCCCGGAACGACGCCTCCAGGGCCTAAAGCAACCCGCAGCCCCTCTCCTAGCAGTGGAGTGGTATTGCAGGGGACTGTGAGCACAAGTCCAGACGAGGAAAGAAGGGGTCCGGCCCCCGCCCCACCCCCCCGGGCTCAGCGGCAAGACACCAGCCTTTACAAGGTGCTGTGAGGTGTACCTGACTCCCGGCACCCAGTCGGGGCCCCTATTGGCCGCCGCCCCCATTTCCCTACCACCCCCAACCCCTACCTGCTCCACAGTGGCGGGGTCCATGGCCTCGATGCGCGCCGCAGCCGCCTCATATTCATCCTCGCTGTTGTAACCCGCGCCGACTTCTTCATGCTCCGGGCTGCCACCACCGACAGCACCAACCACGGGGGCCTGGCGCCGTCGCTTGCTGTGGCCGGGACCCGAACAGCAACCTCCCACGCCCACGGGCCCGCCCACTCCCACCACCACGCCCGCCGCCCCAACTCCCGCTGCAGCTGCACCCAGCGCATCGCCGGGCCCGCTGCCGGGACCCCCTGGACCCCCGCACGGGGGAGGGGAAGACGGCTGTGGCCGGGGACCCGCCACAGAGCCCGGGGGCACGGCCAGAGCCCAGCGGTGTAGCGCACCTGGTGGCCCCGGCAGCGGGCCCTGGGGAGGAGGTGAGGCCCGGGAACGGGCACCCACAACGCTCGTGTCACGGTCTCGGTCGCCGCCGCCCACGCCCGCGCCGCCGCCGCCCACGCCCACTCCCCCGCCGCGGCGCGGCGCCGGGGGCAGCGGCCCGGGCGGCGGCGACTCGTTGGCGGAGTCGGTGTCGGGAGGCGGCGGCTTCTTTTTGGGGAGAATAGTCATGGCGGCACCGCCGAATACCCCCCAGCAAACTCTGCGCGGAGCACGCTGGGAGAGAACCCGGATGAGGGGGCTCCTGCCCGGCGCGAGGCACCACGGGATCGACGGGACCCGGATAGAAAGTCTGAAGCGACAGTGGTTCGAGGAGGGTAGGCGAGCTGGGGGTCACGCGGCAGGAAAACCCGGATGTAAAGTCCAATGGTTGAAGGCAGGCTGAAGGCACCGCGGCGAGTTTGCCGTCGTCTTTGCTCCCGAGGCTGGCAGGTTTATTGCTACTTCTCGTTCGGCCTCCGGCTTCAAAGGAAAGCACCAAAACAAGCACTTCTTGGCCCCGCCCCTTTACAGGTTCTGAACTACAGGGTGGGGCTCCCAGTGTAGCGCTAGCGCGTCACGGCGCAGCCCCGCCTCTTGCTAGGAAGTACGTGGGCAATATTCTTCCGTGCTGCCACAACAGTTGTGGGCACCAACCAATCAAATAGTTGCTCGGATCTTCGATGACGCCCCCCGGGCCAATCGGGGTCGAGTGATCGCCCTCCCGTGCCCGCCGTCTCCGGTCCCAGTCTGCACCTTCGGTCCTCACCTTTCTTCTTGTCCTTGGTCCCGCTCTTTACTTCTTTCCCTGAGCTTTGACGGCCAATGAAGAGCATGAGCACCCCGCGCAAGAAAACAAAAGTACCTTTCTCTCAGGCTCCCAACTTGCTCGCAATCGGTCGGACTGGAAAATATCAACACTCAAAGCATAGCTATCCCCTGAAACGTCAGTTCCGGACCCACCCACCTGCAAATCCACGTCCTGCGAAGGGGTGGGAGCCTCTTCACCCTGGCAATAACTGGCCGAATCCTGCGACTATTGGCTAAGAGATTCTGTCACTCACTTGGGTTGGGCCAATCTTTGGGGTCTACGGGCACCGTGGGGACAGTGGGTGTTTGGAGAAACATATCCCTCTTTGGCACCCGACACTCGCCCTGGCGATGACCTCCCCGCCCCTCTCGCCAGTGCGCAGGCCCGGCACAACTTTGTTTACCTGGGTCTGGCCAAAGTTTACAGACTTGCCAGTGAAATGCGGTCGGTTAAAAAAAAATCTCTGCTCTTGCGCTCTTCCCTTCCTGACTCAGAGATTACTGGCAAGCCATTGAACACCCACCTCCTCCTCCTCCTCAATTTCTACTCCTCTGTCAAATTTCAATGATACATCCAGCTTAAGGAGCAGCGATGAATGCTTGGGGTGGAAGGAGGGATACAGGCGACCTTGGTAGTTGGAAATGTACACTGGTGGAGGGTTGGGTATTGAAACATTATATGACTGAAATCGGATCCTGAAAGCTTTGTTAACTGTATCTCACGGTGATTTTTTTTTTAAAAAAAAGGGTGAATTCTTGGAAGGGCTAGTTCGACAACTTTCTTTGCGAAGCACCACAAAGGCTTCCAGGCTTTGGAGTCAGGTTTTGTTTTAGGCCTAAATCGACCCTTTCTGATTATATGCTCTTGATCAAGGTCATTGTGTCTTAAATTTGATATTACCCGTGTGTAAAACGGGAATAATACCTGTCCAGCCTACAAAGGAAGTAACTAGTTATGAAGTAGTCACAATACCTCACGAGTGTCAGTAGAGACCAAGGCATAGCAAGAGAGACCATTTTAAAGTTCTTCTGGGGCCAGAGTAATAGTAACAGGGTGTTGGATTAGGTGTTTGTCTTCCACGCAGCCGATCAGGGTTTGATCTCTGCATCCTGCATAGCGTCCCATAAGGTCCCCTAAGCACCGCCAGGAGTAATTCTTGAGTGCAGAGCAGGAATAGCACCTGAGCATGGCCAGGTGTAACTCCAAAACCAAAGAGCCGGGAAAAGGAAGTTCTTCTGAGTTGGGGGCCAGAGAGATAAGTACAGCGGATAGGGCGCTTGCCTTGCATGCAGCCGACCCAGGTTCAATCCCTGGCATCCCATATGGACCCCCCAAGCACTGCCAGGAGTGATCTCTGAGTGCAGTGCCAGGAGTAAGCCCTGAGCACCTCAGGGTGTTGCCCAAAATTTTAAAAAAGAAAGTTCTGCGTGCCATCCAGCCTCCTTCAGATGCCAAAACTTAGTTGAAGGGGGTCAGTAACAAATGGACTAGAGAGGGCTAGAGAAATAGCAAGCAGTGGTTGAGGTGCTTGCCTTGCATGTGGCCTATGTAGGTTCCATCCCCAGCACTGTATATGGTCCCCCAGGCCCTGCCAGGAGTAATCCCTAGGCACAGACTAATCTGCCCCCAAATAAAATAAATGGACTTAGAGAACATGGAATGGGAGGATGGGGGGTGTGGAACTCAGTGCATGCAATATAAGCATAATGCCACACATTATCCCCAAGATAGTGTGGAGTGCTGTCTTGACTGCTTTATTGTGTGTGATCCACAGAGCCACAGGCAACTTCTATTGCTATGCCACAAAATGTGTCTGCTCGGGGCTGGAGTAATAGCACAGAGGGTAGGGCGTTTGCCTTGCACGCAGCCAACCTGAGTTCAATTCCCAGCATCCCATATGGTCCCCTTGCACCGCCAGGAGTAATATCTGAGTGCATGAGCCAGGAGTAATCCCTGTGCATCACTGGGTTTGACCCAACAAGCAAAAAAGAAATTGTGTCTGCTCACCATAATGTAGGGGTATGACCCACGCTAAGCAGCACCATGAAAAGAATTGCCAGCACCACAACTGGGAAGCAGAGCCCCTGGAGAGTGAGGGACCCCCAGAAGGCACTACAACTGATATGTTTACAGCACCATAGAAACTGCAGCCCCTGGTGTTTGCAAGCCTTGCCATGAAAGAACAGCCCATGGTGAACACTGCAGCAGAGTATTCCAACAAGATCTGCTGTATGACCTCCAGCGAGCAGCACAGCCAGGACTCTGTGTGTATGTGTGTGTGAGAGAGATAGAGAGATAGAGAAACAAGGTGGATGTAGAGATATTACAAGGAGAGCACTTTCCTTACATGTGGCCTACTGAGGGTTGATCCCTGGTACCACATAGGGTCCCCCAAGCCTCGCCAAGAATGATCCCTTGAATACAGAGTCAGAAGTAAGTCCTGAGCACTGCTGGGTGTAGCCCCACCCAAAAAAGAAATAAATAGAACATAGTGGTGTTTTCTATTCACTGACTTACTGGGAAAAGATCTGTGTTTACTGAGTCTAACCGAGGTGCATCGATGGCCTAGGCACTGATCACACTAAATTTCCTCATACCCATCTCACTCAACCCAAATATCCAACTCAGTGCTGGGTATTTGTACAGCACAGCACATATGAAAAAAATGAAGGTAGGACTCATGGCTAGACTTTACCAAGGACTCACTAGTTGGTGCCTTAACACTGCACACTAACAGCCAGGTTGTTCTTTCTGACAGGAAATAGTACCCCCAACCAACTTTAGCACCTCCATCCAGATTTTGCCCAAAACCTGGGAGTCAACTAGTTTACTTCCTTCTTTCCTTCCTTCCTCTCATTTTTTCTTTTTCTTTTTTCCTTTTTCTGTTTTTGTTTTTTTTCTTTTTGTGCCACACTGCACATGACTTACTCCTGGCTCTGTGCTCAGGGGTCATTCCTGATGGGCTCAGTATTCCCTAATGGGGTGCTGGGATAGAACCTAGTTTGAATGTGCACAAGACAAGAGTCCTAACTGCTATACTATCTCATCTTCCTTCCTTCCTTTTTTCCTTCCTTCCTTCCTATCATTTCTTTCTCCTTCCTTCCTTGTTTTGGGGGCCATGCCCGTTGATGCTGGTTGGGTACTAGTTCCAGGTCTATGCTTGGATGTCACAGCAGTGCACAGGGGATTATGGGATACCAAGGATGGAACCCAGGCTATTTCATACAAGCCTGGGCTCAGCCCATTGAGATCTCATCTCTCTGGTCCCCTGGGAGTCAATTTTGACTGCTTCCTTTTCCTCAATGGTGTGCCTATTAACTCCAAGCCCTTCCCGTTCACCCTCTCAAATCTCTCCACTATCCACCTCTTCCTGTCACCATCTGCTCCACACTTCCATCCCAGGCCCACTACCCAGGCTAGTGTCAATGTCCCATCACTGCTCTTCCTCTCAATAGCCTTTCTCTCTAGTCCACTTTCACAGCCGAAGGAGCCTTCTGCAACACAAATCTTTGGATGACTCCATTTTTCAGCCTTCCAAGGCTCCCCTTCTCCCCAAGATGCAGTCCCAAATCCAGTTCATAACATCAAAGACACTTTGTGATCCAGTCTGCCCCATCAGTGTTTCCCAAGGTGAACAATACATCCCACTGAGGGGCATAGGAATGGTCTTGGGGGGATAGACATAGCCTCAGGTTGTAAAAAAAAGGCAGACTTTGTGATAAGATGGGCTACACTGAGTTTTTTTTTCTGCAAAGGGGGCTGGAATATGTGAATGTTCTGCTCTAGCTCCTGGCCCACTGCGCAGTCTCATAGTCCTGTACAGCTGTCCTGAACTACTTTCTGTTCCCCGAAGGCCCCAAGCTCACTCCCTCACCACGAGGTGATTGGACATGCTGTTCCCTCAGCCTGAAATCTTTGTATCTTGTCATTTTTTTCCTGCTTTCCTCTAACTCATTCTTTATGTATCAGCCAACAGGCTCTCCTGCCATCAACATGCTTCTGTAATTCATCCCTATCTTCGTTTTTTTTTCGGGGGGGGGGGCGTCAAACCCAGCAATGCACACCTGGCTCTGCACTCAGGAATTACTCCTAGCAGTGCTCAGGGGACCATATGGGATGCTGGGAATCAAACCCGGGTCAGCCACGTGCAAGGCAAACATCCTATTCGCTGTGCTATCGCTCCAGCCCCCTATCTTTGTTTTAAAACATTATAATTTCTTTCAAATGCTTAATTGTCTGCTTTCCACAATCAGCTCTATAGATTGGAGCCAATGGCTGCTTTCCCTATCCTTAAATCTCAATAATATGCAGTTAACACTTGATTGGTGAATGAATGATTATCTCTAGTTTGGAGACTAGCAACCTAAGTTAGGAGAAGATATGAGGTTCTTTCAGATACTGGAACACAGAACAACCCCAATACCAGGACTGTCTGATCAGGATGCCAGAGCCTAGCCCAACATTATTAATCATGTTCCTGGGAGCCCAGAGGAGAATGTTGGGGACATCTACCCTGAAAGATACTTTGCCAAACTGAGAGATGGTTTCGTTAGTGTTCAGTGCAAAGCTGTTATCAGGAATCCTAAATTGCAGTTTTCTCTAACTGGGCCTGGAGGATTAGCACAGGGCTTAGAAACATCTGGTCAAGATTTCCAACTCCCAGTGTCCCAAATGCACCAAGGGATGTCCTGGAAGTTCTATTGTCTGTGACCCCAGTGCTGCAAGTGATTTCCAGAATCAGGTGTGAGTAAGCATCACACAAAGGGGCATGACCCCCAGTAAGTGCCTCAACTTAAAAAGATGTAAGCATGTGGCAAGAAAGTGCACACCCCAGGGAGCAGGTGTGTGGATGCTGCAGTAACCCCTCAGTGAGTAACACAACCATAACTTCAGTGCCTCAACAGAGAGCACTCACCTGAGCAAGCCTGGGGACCCACAACTCAGTGATGTTTCAATGAGGGCCTGAGAGATAGTACAGCAGGTAGGGCACTTGCCTTACATGATGCTGACCAAGGCTCGATCTGCAGCACTCCACCGGGAGTGATCCCTGAGTGCAAAGCTTAGAAGTAAGCTCTGAGCACTGGTGTGGCCCAAAAACCAAAGAAGAAAAAACAAACTAAAGACATCTCAATGAGAA